TGTTGCTCTTAAACCCATGAAAAACACATAAATTTGGTTCTCTGGTTACTTTGGTAGCTTATGTAAATATTCTTTAGTGGTAAATTGGTTCAAGATGTCTTGATCTAACCCTGTTTGGACGTGCATACATTACTTATCACACGAATTTACCTCACATATGCTCTCCAGGTTCTTTCTAAATTTGACTGCTTAGTCTCAGTCTTAATTCTTTCTTTACCGATCCCTCCTCTTCTTAGAATCACACCGAAGATTCAAGTAAGAGGGTAATTTTAGAAAAGAGAATCTTAATATGATGACTAAATAGGTTGGTGACTCCGATTTTTATAGAAAGCACCCAAACAACATCGCTCACTTTTAAGGACCTTATATACATAGAATCATACCTCATAATAACTTCTAAAATTATGTTCATAGTCATAATGCCTCCATTAAAAATTGACCAATTTAAATATATTTATCTTCTTGTAGATGCAACATTGCATCCACAAAATCACATATAAGAATGTCAATGATAATGACATGCAAAAGTATTGATGAAGCATCAGCATACTCGTCACATGGTTCCCCAAATATGATGATTAATATGATGCAACTCAATAATACAAATTTGAGCATAATGGTGGATCATAATGATCACAAGTGACCAGACAAATAACCATGCACAATTGTGCAAATAATATATGGAGAGGTCTCAAGCAAGGCCATTAAGGCTGATGACAATCACAGTCGAGAGGTCTCAAGCAAGGCCATTAAGGCTGATGACACTTGTCATCTATGTGAGGACTCTTATATGACTCATGGATGAGTACAAGAATGATCCACAATAAAAAAGAGAACAATAGTAACAGATAACTATAAAAGGAACAAGAATAATTATTCTATGTTATTAAAAAAAATATAAAATTTGTGCCCCCAAGCACTAAGCTAAAGAGAAAAGAAATTCATGACTAAAACTATTTTATTCAACAATAGAAGTTACATTATTTATTAGCATCATAAGACTATCAAGCTTAAGACATTTGAATGGAAAAAAATGTATGGAAAATGGCTAGGAATGATTTTTTCGTGATTATTAATGATGGAGATGTTTCTTGGAATGAAACGAGATGTTTCAATCACTCATTTTCAATGGTTCATTCATATTGAAGTTACCCATGTGTGTCCCTAAAAAAGTAATAATAAAATAGAAATTATATTCAAAATATTATAAACCATGGGCTTTTTATCAAGAGCTAATTCTTTGGTTTATTGTATGGGCTTTTGTCTTAATTATTACATCTGAATTTTAAACTTAATTATTTTAATCATACATCAAAAGATCTAGCTGTATAGAAGGAAAGAGTATGGCAAACGAGGGTCAGCCAGCAGAAGAGTAGGAGATACTCTTCCTATTGAATGAAGTTGTCTAAGGCAAAGCTAATGAGGCCAAAGCGGATAAAATTGGGACGGACCAAAGATGATCGAAGGATATGAGATTGAGTCGATTCAAGGAAGATCTAATTCCCTAAGATCTCCAATCACCCCAGAGACATCCAGAGTCCCCTCATCATGAGTTAAGGACGACAGTAAGACCATTTAAACTGGCTGACTCACACTGACCAAACTTAGCTGATCGAACTGATCCCATTCAGTTGAGGGGATCTCAGCCGGTCAGACAGACCAAACTGAGCTTAGATGGCCAACACAAAGAGCAACTGGATGATAAGTTCATACACGTAAAATACTAATAATATCCTATGCAAACCCCCTCTCAAAATAATGAAAAAAAATTTAATATCATCACATTATACTCTTCTCGTAAATAAGCAGATAATTTTATGAAAAACACATGATTGATATGACATTTTACTGCTCAACTGTCTCTCTCTCTTTACGCTCTATTCCTGGGTTGTGATTCACGAACAAATCGGGATTCAATATTGATCCATCTGATGCACTATATTAAAACCTAAGTTACATACTATTTAGTCAACATAGGTTGTGAGCAATGCACTTCTAAGTTTTGAAGTCCAAGTGTTTAGTGTTGACTAATTGAAGCCAACTAGACAATCATGCCAAATAGTTAGCATTGAACAAACAATGATGAGTTAGTTGGATGTGTTTGGTATATATTAAATTGGCTAACATACACATGTCGAGCAAATGAAAGTGTGCGGTAAGGTTTTATGTATTTTTAACTTAGAATTTCCCAATCAACTTATGGAGGCACATGAATATGACAAATATGGCTTAGTGACATCATCATGAAAAGTGTAAGGTCAATATTAAGTGCATAAAATGATGTGTTAGATAAACAAATTATAGATTAAAAAATCAATTAACATAATGTAACATAATGAGACATAATGTGACATTTAGGCCTCGTTTGGGGTAGCTTAATGGGTGCGGCGACGTTTTCAAAATGCCGTCGTTGTGTTTGAATATCATGTTGGCTTCGGATTATTTTTGCCGCTCCGAAACACAATTTGTGAAATCCTTAATATGTGCCGAAGTGGGATGGAGGCCGCGTCTTGCGTATGCTTATCACATTAGGGTAAGAATTCTGGAGGTGCCCTTCTCTGCTCGCCCTCTCCCTCGCCCTCCCGATCTTTCTTCTGCTCCTTAAATCTTGCGGAGATCGGCACATATATAAGGTATATTTTCGACCTCACACTCTCGCCCTCCCCGATCTTTCTTCTCCTCATATCTCGCCTCATACGAGTATGTATTCGACCCTCACATTACTCTTTGCTTGGGAATGTTGGAATAACTACTGCTAAGCAATTGATTTCATACCTCACTTGTTTTATTTTGGCTCGGGTTGCAATTTAAGTACATGTAGGAAGGTGATTTATACTAAATCAACGAATGTTATTGAGTTGGAAAAGAAGAATGAGAGAGTTGAGATGTGGATTATTTGTGTGTCTATGCATCTTGTATGAGGAAAACAAATGAATCATTGTAGAGTTTTTATTCTTTCTTATCAATTGTGAGAAGAACGGTCATGTGGAAATTAGAGAAATTGGATGCATCTGTGTCATTTTTCCATATATACCACTTCAAATCCTGTGCACTGTTGAAAAAAATCACAATGGGGGATTTACGCACATACCACTTCAATTCCTACTCAATTGTATGCTCTGTTGAAAAAAATATAATTGGGCATACCACTCAGTTTCTATGCACTTGCATATGAATTCCAATGCAATTACATACAAAATATATTGTGGCATTTACATACAGACCACTCAGTTCTTATGCATTATTTCAATTCTTTGCTATTGGTCTAAATGTGAGCCATATGTTAGATCCTAAATGAGTGATATTGCTACCTGATTTTTAAAGTAGGTTTGGATATGGGCAGATGTAGAGAGGTGGATTTTGTGTTTTTATGCATCTTGAATGAGGAAAACATTTCATTTACTAATAAGTTTCTTGGATGGAAGAATTCCACTAGCTGAAACTTTTTAAATTCATTTGAAAATTTCTTACTTTTGATCTTATTCTTTTCAATAATTTTTGAATTTAAAACAACTATGGATCATATATAGTTATGCTTGTTTTCTATATTTCCTGAGGATGAGCTTATTGAAGTTTCTTCTTATTTTTGTTTTAAAATCTAAAGTTGCACATGGATATTCAATTCATTAATGCACATGAATATTCTATTCATTAATGCATTAGATTTTAATTTTGTTTACGAAGTTGCATATAGAAACTTAATGATGCTATGCCCACAACCATATATTATTGGTTGATAGCAATCCCCTACCAAAGTCATGGAGGGTGTGATTATGGAGGTTGATCAAAATATATTCAGTGGATTTCCTTGTAATGCATTAATGAAGGTTGATCAAAATATATTGGAGCTTATTATAGAGATGCTTCTAAATGAAATGCCATTCTCCCATCAACTTAACATTGATTCATTGGCTTTTATTGTAATACATTAATGAATGGAATATCCATGTGCAGTTTCGTAAAGAATTTTAAAATCTATTGCATTAATAAATGAAATATCTATGTGCAGCTTCCCAAATAATACACTTTTATATCGAGTCACTGTTATTGAAAGGGGACTGATTGGTTTGTTGGTTGGTTTGTTGGTTAAATGAATTGATTTTTGGGGATATATTGGTCTTTAGAGCTACGAGTTGCATTGGTCAATTATCACATTGCTTATATTTTAGGGCTACGGGTTGCATATTTGTACTTGACAATGAAGAAAATTATTGTCACACTTGGCAGTTGCTTCGGGTGTATGAGAAGGTGCATTTCATATATAAGATGTCTATTGCTTATTTCCACACCTGTAGTTTAGTTGGATGTCTTTCATTGCTATGTACCCTTACACAATTGCATAATAGAAACATCTTTGATGTCTTACTGTGGATGTAGGTCTTTGACCGAACCACATAATTCTTTTGTCTCTTTTTTTTTTTGAGCGAATTGCTACACTGTTGGTTCATTTGGATGGTATGCCTATAACATGGTTGGATTTCTTCTCTCATTGGTTCATTTGGATGGAATGCATTGCTATCTCGCTTTCTTATGCATATTGAGTTACAATATGAATTTCTTTATGCATATGCAATTCTTCATATAGTTCCACCATGACTAAGACAAATGATAGTGTACTTCAGCGACGTGGGATAAGAAATTTACAAATATTTGGATGGTATGCCCTAAACAATTTTACCAGACAGGGGTATGAATATCATTTATACAACCATAACTACCAATAAGCTATTATGAATAAGCGGCCCCAAACAGCAAATAAGTTTATTATGATAATCTGCAGATTATTATATTATCAGAATAATCTGCTTATCAACAGATTATAAATAATCAACAGCTGCTCCAAACAGACCCTTACATTCATACTATCCAATTTCTATGCATTTACATATCTAACACATAAGCTTTTGTTTTTATATTTATATCACTATCAAAAGCACCATCATTTTAGTTTACATATAGTTAAGCAATTACATGAAAATTGAGTGGTATCTATGCAAATATTTCTAAAGAAGAGGAACTCGCATTATTTCCTCGATTTTTTGGTTCTTTGCCGCAGCGAGGTGACCAGTTCGGAAACCCTAGCTCTTCCTCCTTGCAAACATGAGCAGGTCAGGCCAGCCTCCGGATCTCAAGAAGTAAGTCATTCTCCCTCTTCCTCCTCCCCTTTCCTCCCTCTTTGTCCTTCGTTTCTGGTTCGGTGAATTACTCGCGTTTCTGATCTTTGTGTTTGTTTTTTCTTCCTCCGTATGTTAAAACGGGTTGCAGGTACATGGACAAGAAGCTCCAAAGTGAGTTCCCCTTTTCTTGCTCAGCTTATACTCTTCCGTAACTTTTCTTTCCACAGTATCGTAAGGAATTAGTTATATATTCTATATAAGATTCTTGTTTTACTATCCAGTGTTTGATAGAAAAATATTTTAAGCTGGTCCATCATGACTGGCTTTGAATGTTAATTCAGCTCCGTCTTCTTCCTATTTTGTCTGTCGCTTCTTGAAACTGGATGTTGCAGCTTGCAAAGAGTACAGACTTGACCATTTGACATGCCATCTCGAACCTCTAATTGAACCATTGGACTCGTTTTGGATATTTTTCTTTTTGTTTCTTGATTGATTTGCAATTTTTATGCTATTTATATACTTACGAAGATTTGACACTAAGGAATTTTGCTTAGATTACCTTTTTTCTATGGTATTCTAATTCTTGGTTTGATTTTTACTAAGTCCATTCCATTCAATTGAGAAGTAAATCCTTAATTTGGGCGTATTTGTATTTCAATTGACTACCCTTGGCTCGTCGATGTGGAGGTGAGCACTTCTGAAAGATAACATAGGAGCATTTGAAAATTAGAAAAATCATATTTTCTCACAACTAGTTCTGTTTTCCTTTGATAGAAATATCTCCATTGCAAATCTCATACTTGATTCAATCATAATTTAAGATAAAGAGGATCTAGGGTTTTGAATGCATTGTTTGGTATATGATGCTTACATTTAAGTTGAATACAAGAAGGGTCAGGAGAAAGAAGATCGATTCATTATGGGAAGAGGGAAGCACACAAATTATTAGATTGTACTAGAAGCTCGTCATTTATTTATAATGCTCAAGCTCTTAAGCATTACTATTATGTAATCTATTACTTTAATCTAGAGCATGTTTTGGCCATAGTGACTTATGCACCTCCTAAATGTATGATATTACTAAGGCATTGAGTTTGACATCTTGCCTTGATTTGAGGGATTGATGATATATTTTTTTAATATTGAAGCTTAGTTGATTTTTAATGATGAAAAATTGATATGAGATGTGCGAAAAGAGCATCAAGAGTTTAAAAAAAAGTGTGCATATTATTGAAAACAAGTTGATCTATTTTATATGCAAGAACTTCAAGTGCTAGATTATTCAATATGGAAGATGAAGTGAATGAGTCCAATGAAACATATGAAGAAATGGATGGATTTTAAATCCTTTGATTGAGAAAAAAATATTAATGATGCAGAAGATGGAATAGATTCTCATAATGATTACATTGTACCTATTCTATGTATGTTACAAACTTATGCAGTTTATCCATGCTTTTTTGAAATAATCTATTTGGCAAATATTTTGAACTTGGATCATGATAAAACTTGCAAATTTATTTTTTTGTCCAAAATATTCTAGAGTGATTACTATTAGCTTATGTTTTTCAGAAGCATTCGCCATAATTAAATAAATGCATGCCACGTTAATATTTCTATTTTTGTCTCATTTTTCTTGAACAAGCGCTGTTTGGTGTGTAATGATTCAGGTAGTTGCTAATCATATTGCTTAAGTTCCATAGCGGCTTATGCACCTCATCAATGTACAACATTACTAAGGCACTAAGTTTGGCATCTTACCTTGATTTGAGGGATTGGTGCTATATTTTTTTAATATTGATGTTTTATGATTAAAAATTGATATAGATGATTTGAAAAGAGCATCAAGAGTTGGAAAAAAGTGTGCATATTTATTGAAAACTAGTTGATCTATTTTATATGCAAAACTTCAAGTTGCAGATTATTCAATAATTAAGATGAAATGAATGAGTCCAATGAAACATATGAAGAAAAGGAAGGGTTTTAAATCCTTTGATTGAGAAGAAAATATTAATGATGATGACGATGGAATAGATTCTCATAATGATTACATTGTAACTATTCTATTTATGTTACAAAATTATGCAGTTTTATCCATGCTTTTTTGAAATAATCTATTTAGCAAATATTTTGAACTTGGATCATGATAAATCTTACAAATTTATTTTTTTGTTCCAAAATAATCTAGAGTGATTATTATTAGCTTATGTTTTTTGAAGCATTCCTTGTAATTAAATAAGTGCATGTCACATTGATATATTTGTTTTTATGTATTCTTCTGCTTGAACAAGCGCTCTTTGGTGTGTAATGATTCAGGTTGTTGCCAATCATATTGCTTGAGCTCACATAAAGTTTTAAATAATGGTATTGATTTCAATAATCCTTGATTTTATTTACACTACTATTATGAAATGGGGTTTTAAATTTTTTACTTTAGAAGATCCTAAGCATCCTCTTTTTTGAAAAAAATTGCTACCATCCAATTTTTTGACATATATCCATTTAAATAGCAAGTAATTCACCTATCTTTTCATTACCAAGTTACCTATATCTTCATCTAGTGCAGTATTGTGCTATACATGCCTTCATCTAAGCACATTTATCGCACATGGCTTCTTATAATTATACACACTTTTTCCCATGGCTTCTTATAATTCTCCAAAAAAAACCTAACTTGAAAAACTTTTGTTTTCATTGTCAATAGAAAGAACAATAGCAGAGCAACCTCGTTTGATTCTTTGCAATTATCATCTTCACTTTGATGATGCCCTCATGAGAGCCTATGTTTCTTTGGTTGCTTGATGGAAACATAGAAGGCGAGTAAAAAGGGCAAACTTGTTAAACTAGACGTGTTCTACACAAAAAAAATAGTTCAAGTTAAGAAAAAGTTTCAAATCTCTCAAAAAATCTTTTTGATCATGTTCGTTAGCTCAACAACAACAAGCCTTTATCCCACTAAGTGGGGTCGGCTAGATGAATCATTTTTCTCCATTGCGTTCTAATAAGTGTCATATTTTCATTTAGTTCTTTTAGATTAAGATCATTTTTTATACAATATGCTCAAGCTTTTTTAGGTCTACCTTTGTCATTCTTAACATAAGTTGAATCTAAAACATCTACTATCCTAATCGGATCATCAGATGATCAACGTTTAACGTGACCAAATTATTTACGACAACTCTCTAATCTTGTCTGCCGCTGGAGCTCCCTATCACAAATATATTTATTTGTATTCTCATCTGAGCAACACTTAAACTTTGTTTTATGCTTCTCTTTTAAAGGCCAACATTTTACTCCATAGAGCATTGCAGGTCACCACCATCTTATAAAGTTTTTGTTTAAGTCTAAATGGTACTTTTCTATCACATAATAGGCTCGATGCATTCCACTTCAACCAACCAATTTAAATTCTACTAATAACACCGTCATCTATATCACACCATCACTTTGAACAATATAATCGAGATATCTAAAACGTTCACACTTTTTAATGATTTGATCACTCGTAGTTACAACTTTGTCACTAGAGCTACTACCACTAAAATTACATTTCATATATTCAGTTTTAGATCCACTCGAACGAAGATCTTTAGACTCTGATATAGACCTCCATAATTCAAATTTTTCAGAACTTCTTCTCTTGTATTATCCACAAGAAAGATATCATACACCAAGATACATCCTCCTATGTAAATGTCTAGTAAGAGCATCTATAATTAAAGCAAAAAAATATGTTTTTAAAGCAGATCTCTGATGTAAACCAACCGAAATAGGAAAATACTTGGTCAATCCTCCTTCTGTTTGAAAAGTTGTAACATCTTCAGTGTACATACCTTTAATGACTTGAATATAAGTCATATCAACACCTTTCCTTTCTAGAACCCTCCAAAGAACTTCTCTTATAACCTTATTGTAAGCATTTTCTAAATCAATAAAAATCATATGTAGATCCTCCTTGCTTTCTCTGTACTTCTCTATCAAACCTACGAATAAATGTATAGCTTCAATGGTAAACCTGTCCGGCATAAATCCATACTAATTATGATAAATTTTGGCATCACTCCTTAACTCATGCTCAATTACCCTCTCCCATAATTTTAAAGTATGACACATCAACTTAATTATTCTATAATTTGCACACTTTTGTGCACCCCCTTTATTCTTAAAAAAAGGGACCAAAATAATTTTCCTCCACTTCTCTGGCATTTTTTTAGTTTTTAAAATAATATTAAAGAGTTTAGTAGATTAAGAAATTCCCAAATCACCTAAATATCTTCACACTTAAATTGGGATATTATCAGTTCTTATTAATTTTTCACTTTTGGTTTTCTTTAATCCTCCAACTTCTTTTTTTACTAATGCAACGGTAAAATTAAAACGTTCTATTATTATTAACGATATTAAGATCACTTCTTCATCGTCCTCGAACGTGACAACCTTTTTACCCATGTCTCTTAAGATAAGTTCTTGCATATCTTCAGCTAATTGCTTCTCCATCTCTTGCTGAAGCTGCTCCTTCAGTTTTCTATTTTCTTCAAGCAAGTGCTCCGTGTATTTTACCAATTCATGGATTAAGTTGTCCTTAGATTGAAACTGAAGTAGGGACAACTCTTTCTGAACAATTATTTCCAAGTAGAACTTAGCACACGGTGGGCATGCAGTTAGTTTGCACAAGATGCAATGTACTCTCATATTTGGATTTGTAATAATATAACAATAAGAACACCGAGAGTATTGACCTTTTATGGGTTTGTTGTGCTCCCATTGATGCGAGCACTTCTCTTGATATTCCTTTAATTTGATTAAGCACCTCCATTCGTAGTCCTTCATCATTAGCCCAAATTCCTCAATCAGACAGTTTTTCAAGGCACTGTGGATATGTGTGAGGGTATTCATTCCTTCTCCCTCGGAGATCGAACAGATTACGTCAGATGACTCTTCATTGAGATCTACACAGGGAACATCATAGTCATCCGGGAGTTTCAGATTATTTAATATGGTTGCTCGAGCCATATTGCCATTTTTGCTCTTACATTCCTTGGCGAAGTGGCCTTCATCGCCACAGTTGTAACACCGGCACTTAGCAGACTTCGATTTGTTTTTATTTTTGATGACCCGCACATGTGAATTGTGCGGCTTTCCCTTGTAGTTCTTTGATTTGCGCAAGCCGT